GCAACCACTGGGGCTCTCGGTGGAGCTCCCTGTGGGACCACGCAAAGCGTGAGGGGCGTGCCGGGACGGTCGGGGTGGCGCCATGCAGACGCAACCACTGGGGCCTTTGGTGTAGCCCCCTGGATGCGAAGGAAAGGTGTGAAAGGTGCGCCGAAATGGGCGGGGGGTAGCGCCATGTGGACGCAGCCACTTGGGCCCTCGCTGGAGCTCCCTGGGGATCACGAAACGTGTGTGTGTGTGTGTGTGTATGTGTGTGTGTGTGCGTGTGTGTGTGTGTGTGTGTTTGTGTGTGTGTGTGTTTGTGTGTGTATGTGTTTGGTGTGCCGAAGCCGGGGAAGTGCCATGCGGACGCAGCCACTGAGGCCTTCGGTGGAGCTCCCTGTGGGGCCACGCAACGTGTGAGGGTGCGCGAATATGATTATGATGATGATAATGCTGATGCTCATGCTGAGGCTGAAGCTGAGGATGGTGATGATGCTGATGGAGATGCTGATGCTGATGCTGATGAGGATGAGGATGGCGATGACGGTGTTGCTGCTGATGCTGATGATGCTGATGATGCCGCCGCCGATGATGACGACGACGATACTGATGATGATGGTGATGATGGTGGTGGTGGTGATGATGATCTTGATGGTGCTGGTGCTGGTAATGGTGATATTGGCGCTGATGATGATGATGATGGTGGTGATGATAACGATGGACGATGGTGGTGGTGGTGATGGCGGTGGTGATGATGTTGATGGTGATGATGATGATGATGCGGATGACGATGCTGATGCTGATGGTGATAATTTTGATGAGGATGATGGTGGTGATGATGATGACGATGATGAGTGGAGATGGTGGCCACGAGTACACAGGCGACGATGCGAACGACGACGATGACGACGGTGGAGGTGCTGCTGATGACGATGATGAGGATGACGAGGAAGAAGACGAGAGGAAGAGGGGTGCAGAAGGAAACGCGCGACGCTGCGAATTCAAAACGAGGACCTTTTTTTGTGTTTCTCCGCAATATCCCAGCCCGCACCGCTGCACCGCACCCCCCAGCGCCAGCCCGCACCGCTGCGCCATCGCCGCCTCGGTTCCGCCTTCACCCGGGCCCGCGCCCGTAAACTATGCGAGCCGCAGGGACCGGACGCGAACCCTGCAGGCCCCTGGGCAACGCGCCAGCAGCAACCTCCACTGCCGCGGCCGCGAGGGCGGGGGCCGCGCTCCAGGCGCCGTCCGCGTCGGCCAGCACCGCCAGCGCTGCGCCGCCAGCAAGGCCCGCTCTGGCGGCCAGCGCAGCGTCGCCCCGCACCCCGCGCCCCCGCTCCGGGCATTGCAGCGACGCCTGCGGCCGAATCCGCCTCGGCCTCGCCGGCTCGGGCCTCGAGGTCCGCGCCGCGGGGGCCGTCCCCCTCCGGGGCAGCCGCGGCGGCGCCAGTGGCCAGGCCCGCCGCGGGCTGCCGTGCGGCCGCACCGTCGGCGCTGCCAAGGCCGGCCCCTCCGGCGTGCACCGCGCGACCCGGCCGCGCTGTCGGCGGCTGCCAGGGCCGGCCCGCGGCGGCGGCGGTGGTCGCGCCGCCCGCGCCACGCGCTGCCGCAGCGGCAAGCCCGGCAAGCCCGTCCAGCCCCGCCGCGGCGCCCGCTTGAGCCGCGTCGCCGGCACAACTGGCCGCGGCGGCGGCGGCGGCAACCGCGTCTCCCGCGCCCAGCGCTGCCACGCCAGCCGCGCCGCCGTCCTCCCCCACGGGGGCGACCCCAGCTATCCCGCCTGGCCCCTCTGCGGCGGTCGCGCTGGCCGCGTCCCCGCCCGCCAAGGGCGCCGCTGCAGTGCCGCCGAGCGCGCCCGAGTGCGCGCCCTGCTTCTCGCCCTCGGCCACCCGCGTCCGCGGCGCGGGCGGGGCGTCGGGGGGATCCGGCGCCCCCTCGGGCGAGCAGCGGCGAAGCTGCCCCCCCAAGCAACGCTGGAGCTCCACGGAGATGGCGGCGCATGTGCGCTGTCTGTAGCAGCGGCCGCCGACCCGGGGCGCCGCGCCGCCGCGCCGCCGCTCGGGCCAACCCCTGCAGCGCGTCCGCGGCCTCCACGCGGGCCCTCCCGTAGCTGCTCCAGACCATGGGCTGGTTGGTGCCGCGCGCCCCGCCGCCGCAGCTCGTCGGAAACCGGCGCGTGCGCCTGCTGCTTGCGGTGGCCCATTGCAGCGCAACAGCCCAGCCCCGCACCCGCGGCTTCCAGCGAGCACGCCCCGACGTCCAGTGCTGCGATCGAGGCTGCCGTGGGCAGCCGACGTAAAGATGTCAGCTGGGCGCAGCAGTGGACGAGATGGCATGAGGCCGAGAGGCTCTGGGGCAGCCTCTGGGTCGCCCAGAGCAGCCAGCAGGTGCGCGCGGTGGCGCGCGCGGCAGTGGCCCTGGGCGGCTGCGCCCAGGGCGCGCGACTGCGAGCGCACGCCGCGTCGACCTGAGACCTCGCCCCACAGGGAGCACTCCGCGCCCTCGGGGACCAAGGGCGGGCCAGGGAATCGACGTACTCGGCGACGCTGAGGACCAGGGCGCCCTGGAGGCGGGATCCGTCGCGCTCCTCTGGATCCTCGGCCCCTGCTGGATGGGCGATGGCCTCGGTCTCGGCCGCAAGCGTGGTCGCTGGCGCAGTCTGGTCGGACCGAGCAGCGGAGAACCGCGCTGCTGCCTCCCCATCAGCCTGGGCGAGAAGGGCGTCGATTCGCGCCCGGCTAGCGTCGCCGGCCTGGGAGAGCAGCCCGCGCCGCGCGCCCGCCTCCAGCGCGTCGCCGTAGTCGTCGAGCAAGGCTAGAAGGTCCCCCGCGACCTCGGCGAGCCCCTTCCAACAAGTAGCGAGCCATCGGCCGGGCCTCCTTGCGAGCTGCCACGAAAGCGGCGGCGGCGGCGCACTCGGCAGCCGAGGCGAGGCCGAGCCCGGCCTTGGAGGCGTGGGAGGGGAGAAACCTCGCGCGCAAGAACGCGCCCCACCGCGGCCGCCGCGACGTCGTCGAACTCCGCGAGGGCCTCGGCGCTGATGTCGGGCGTAACGGACCGCAGCAGATGCGTGACCCTGCAGACGCCGGCGCAGGACCGCAGCAGCGTGAACTCGGCGGGCGCGTCCTCCAAATCCGGGAAACGCTCGTGAACTGCGGCGACCTTCCGGCTTGCTCGTCGGAGCTGCTCCGCCATGACAGCTGGCGCCTTGTCGCGAGCGCCGGCGTCCACGCCCAGCGCGTGCGACAGGTGCACCGCGTCGTCCGCGGGTGTCGCGCACGTGTCCGCCACAGGAGTGATCCACGCTCTCGGGCAAGGGACGTCGCTGAAGCCCAGAACTCGCGCCGCGCTCTTGACCCCGGGCTCGTAGCCGCGCGTCGCGCCGACGGCCGCGAAGTGGTCGCCGAGCGCCCGCGAAGACCACGTCGACGTCGCGCTCGTCGCAGAATGGCTGGCCATCGTCGAGTTACCGCGCGTCGAAGAACTCCACTCCCTGCGCGGCAAGGTCGGCCCGCTCGCCCCCGACTGCGTCCACGATCACGGCGCAGGTCAGCAAACCGCCCAGGGGGTCGCCCTGCTCCGCGCCCCAGGAGACCTCCACGAACTCCCCGCGCGGCAGCTGGGCCCGAGACGGGGCCGCATGGCACCATTCCAGCCGCGCCAGCAAGCCGGGGAAACGTCGGGGGCAGGACTCCCAGATGGCGCCCCACTCGAGGCTGGGGAATGCGTTGCAGAAGCGATCGATGTCCACGACCGCGGTGCGCTGTCCGCGAAGAAGGAGAACTCGCTCCGCCTTCGGCCGGAACGCCGCGGCAGCCTCGAGGCTACCGGGAACGCCTGCCCCGAACTGGCGGCGCTGCAGGAACAGCTCGCTGGCGGCCCCGCGCTCGTCGAAGGCGAACCGCATCGCCGTGGCCCGGCGCGACGCCTCACCTGCGCGGATGGGTCAGGGCGCCGGCCCGCTCTTCCTCTTGAGGGAGC